CAGAAGACTCCGCGGAACACACTCCAGAGCCAGGAGGAAGAGGAGGGACTAAAGTATTTCAGTGGGGGGAGGAGGGGCAGCGATCCCACAGTGCAGCCCATCCACCAATCCCGCAGGGAGATGCCACTTCAGTCTCTTGTCATTGGTACCAGGGAAAGGGGCGTTTCCCGTGTTGTCAGGATTGGTTTCAGTTTTTGTCAGAGCGCTCACCCCACGCCAATCACCCGCCATTGGATGTGTGTGGGAGTGGGGGAAAGGTTTCACCACTCGGCATCTCCGATGGCTTTAGAGAAGACAAAATCACGGCCATTCAGGTTCATAATCCCGTCTTTGAGATGAAACTTCCACTTGTTTTTACTCCTGTGGATCTGCGAGAAACAAAAATCAAATCAGTTGTACAACCAGAGGACCAAAATATTCCCCTCCCCCCTCACCAACATTAAATGCCATATTATAGCCCTGCTGATGTCGCCACTGGGTCTGTGTGATTCTCTATGCAATGCAGGCAGATCATGGCTGGTGGGAGGGGCCAGTGGGGTGCAGTACATAGCCTCCTGAAACCATCACAGCACCCTGCCTCAGTCCTCATGTCATGAGTGCTCAGCTCTGATGCAAGCAGTGGGTGGGCTCTTGGGAGAAGTCTGGAGGAGGGGGTGTTCCCAGGCAGACTGGAATTACATGTAGACCCCTCCCCCCCTCCAGGTAACGCCCACATGTGATGCTGAGCCTCCATGATTGACAGAACTGACAGCCAATGAAAGAAAGGGGCGGGGCCAAGAACAGTCAGGCTGGTGAGGAAAGTGTTAGATGACACTAGACCTCCCGCAGCCAGGAAATGAAGACGGAGGTCAGATAGAAGACTGAAGGGGAGGACGGAGGTCAGATAGAAGACTGAAGGGAAGGACAGAGGTCAGATAGAAGACTGAAGGGAAGGATGTAGGTCAGATAGAAGACTGAAGGGGAGGACAGAGGTCAGATAGATAGTTGTCACCATCAGGAAACTCGCCCTGAGAAATGCCGTGGAGCCGTCACGGGGGTCATGTAGACAGGAAGTGGCTGTAAAGAGGCTGCAGGAGATGAGCTGCACTGAGATGAGACAAAAAGATTTTTATAAGAAAAAACAATCCACTTTCACACCCTTCGGGGAGGTCGATGTGACTGAGTGAGGTTAGAGATGAAAGCTTCCCTGCTGCGTATAGAGACGGTGAATCCGCTGATCCGGGTCGGAGCCAATCACTCGCCTCCAGCTGTAGGAAGGTCTCCCACTTCTCACGCTGCAGAATCTGAAGAACTCTGCCGCCATCTGCTGGTGACATCTGATAACAACTGGAGAGTCGCCAGCAGGACGGCTGATACCAGAAGTAGTGTCCCGAGAACAGGAGCGACTTCTGTGAGGTCCCGCGCTTGTTGGGGACCCGCGGCGGCCTGCTGGGGACCCGAGGCGGCCTGCTGGGGACAAGTGGATCTCCGTATCGAACAGCTCCTGACCCTCCTCGTCACTGACATCATCTTCACTGTTCAGGGGTTCCTGGAAAAGAGTCGGGTCACAAGAGTCGGGTCACAAGAGTCGGGTCACAAGAGTCGGGTCACAAGAGTCGGGTCACAAGAGTCGGGTCACAAGAGTCGGGTCACAAGGGCCGGGTAACAGAGGCAGG